TTACATAGATGGTGTGATCGTTTTTTGTTTCAACTCAACAAATATTGATAATAAAAATTTGGTTCTCACACAATTCTATTTTCCTTGGATAGAATATCATTCTATCTTTTATTAGAACCCTATAACTTACTAGAAACATTGAATTATGCTATGAAATGAAACCTGATTATCACAAGTCTTAGCAATGCAATCGATCGTATCAGAATACTGGTTGAGAATAATGCTTTGTTCTCTGACAGAGATGACATTAGTTAATTAAGATGCGCTCAATTCAAATTTTCCATACTCTCTTAGTTCTTTGTTTATTTGTATATCATTGAATAGAGCTTTATAAGCTGATGAAGAATATCCTTTTTTAACCTCATCAGTACAAGTTTGTTACTAGAAATACTTTTGATAACTTGAACAGCCTATTTTTTTCGTAAAAACCATCATTCTTTCTTTCAAACGATTTAAATCAAGAGTGTCTTATTGCAAGTGATTGCAAGTTTTGAGCTTCATCTTTTGGCTCCATATAAGTCTCAATGATATTGAGAAAATCCTACTCTCTAAAAAAAATTGGTGTCATAGTGAACCTTTTAAGGTTCTAGATTTGGGTACCATTTTAAGAACCTTTTTTATAGTTCTAGCCGAAAAATTTAGAACTTAAAAAAGTTCTAGATTTTCTGGCTAGAACTTTAAACGGTTCAGCGCCTTCGGCTAGAACTAAAAAAGGTTCTTAAAATGGTACCCAAATCTAGAACCCTAAAAGGTTCAGTCAGTCAACTTTTTTTTTTACAGAGTAGATGCATTGTTGCTTATACCTCTTCAATACCGAGATACCACCTAAATAATATCATAAAAAAATGAATTTTTATTTGATTTTTGAAATGTATATCTTTTGTGTAATCAAAATAGATCTAAGTAAATGTTGATTTAGCCTGCTTTAATAATAGCTTATTTGCTGCTGATCCATTAAATTCATGATTCTGCTAACAATGAGTATATGAAATTATAATTGTATAATACTTGGTGAATTATGATATTATAGAGAAGAAAGAGGAAACACTCACCCTCTTTTGGACATGAAGTACATATGGTCAACAAGAATTGGTGTTCGTTCGTTGTTCTCTTCTCTATTTGTCATTGTTCATCTGTGATATCACAAGTTGCCAAGTCTCAGAATTATAATTTAATATTTTCCGTACTAACAAAGCCATGAATTCGAAATTGTTGCAGCAAATAAGCTATTTTTTGAGCTGGCTATACAAGCACTTAGTTACATCTATTTGGATGAT